TATTGGTAATTATTTAGGCTACTATATTAGAGTTTGGGTTGAAATGTCATTATGGCCGGCCAAAGCCCTGATCCAAATCCGTCACGCCCCCATGCCTTGCTTCCAAAACCCTGGCCGTAAAGGCCAATGGCCCTAAGTTGCAAAGGCAGGAGCATGGTTTAGGGTTCAGGGTTAAGGACGCCCTAAAACCGAAAAATACAGCACCCCCTGTGTCCCCTAAGCCTTAGAGCCATAGCATCTACTCCTCCCCTTCGAAGGGGGTGGGGGACGTGCACCCGACGCCCGAGGTCTGAACTAATAATCACAGGTCCTCCATGTCTTGAGTCCCAGGGCACAAAACTTAGGCCCCAAACACTGGGTAGTTATGAGTGGGGTTAGACGTCCTCTAAATGTGGCACCGCAACTGCAGCCATTTCCACCATCACCTCATAGCATAGGTCATAGTGAAGTTTATACAGGCACCCCAGACCCTATAAAAGCTTTAAACCCTACCAGAGCGATTGCGCAACTCGAAGCGCAAGCCAAACCAAAGGGAGCAAGACGTTCTGTCCATCACTGCGGCCATCCTCCAGGAAATCTCGACAGGAGCCACGACTTGGGTGGCAGGATCCCAGCGCATCCTTGCCCAAGGAGGTGCCTCCGTGGTGGCCGTCCTCAATGACGCCGGGTACCGCAGAGACGTGATCGGGGCCTTGCAGGCGTACGCCGATGCTCAGGCCAGAGCTGCATCGTCCGATGTGGGCATCATGGGAGCTGCGCTCGGACTGGCCTAGATCGACATGGGAGTTTCCGAAAATAGGGGACCCTAATATAGTACCCTAAATGGTAGGATCCTTATTATAAGGACCCCTAAGTAAGGTACCCTTAATTTTCGGAAACTCCCACATTCTGCCTTTTGCCCTTGCTTTCTCTTCAGCCAGGGGGTCTGGAAAGACCGATATCGACTTCTTCTCCGAGGATCACGCACTTAACGAAATCATGGCAACCGCAAAGCCAAGACCCTAAACTCCAAACCATCTACGACGCACATGCGCATATATACATATAAATGTATATACATATACATATATGTATCTTTACATATAAGATATACATAGATAAACCCGGAGCCCTCTTGTCCCTTAGACTGACATGCCCCATGGTGTTGTTGGTGTTTTGGGCTTGGGGTTTATGCATGTGGTCGCTCGGACAGGCTCGATGCAACCCCTTAAGTTTTGCTTGGCCCAGAGAGCCCGACGAGGGATTGGGGTTTAGGGTTTAGGGATTAGCAAGACCTGCCAGGAGGTTCAAGGGTAGTTGTGGGATCATAAGCCCACTAATATGGCATATAACCATGCGTAGTTATTTTACTTATAACGCTACTTATAACTACCCATGAACCTCCAAGTAGGAATTGAAGACTCTATGACTAAACGATGGTATGTTGAGCTTCTTACCATTTGGCTCTGTTGATAAGCCCTACTCTCTACACACTTACCTTAACCTACCAAAACCTACTTGTTTGTAGGTTCTTATTATAAATCCTAATATGGAATTTATAGGGACCCTACAAGAAAGTAGGTTTTAGTAGTTTAAGGTATAGCCCAGACTCGATCTGCAGGTTAGGATGACGAACCCTACCGTCCTGTCTGTGCCGTGCCCAGCTTTTGACGCTTAGGGTCTAGGGTTTAGGGACGTCATGGACGAGGGTCTGTCGAGGGTTTCTCAAGCCTTTCGGATTTCGAGGATGATGAGAATCTTCGGGATATCCCATGGAGATCGTTGGATTCTTTCATTTAGGGTTCAGGGTTTAGGGTTTAGGGTCATCTAGGGCCTCTAATAATTTCAGAATAGGGTTTGGGGGGCCATTTTACTATAATTATAGTAAGGAGCCCCCGAAATGGTATTTGGTAATTATTGAGGCCCCTACGGCACAGGGGTTCCTAAAGCCCAGAACCCCTGGACCACCCGCCCTGGTGTCGGCACACTTGGCTAAGCATAGTCTAAGGCGCCGAGTTCCCGAGCCCAGCCCTAAATGCCTAAAGCCTTCGTAAGGCGTTCAACAACCCAAGTTGTTCTTCAATGGGTCGCCTAGTCAAGCAGTTTTTTAGTGCCCACCCCTGTGAAGCGGCTTTCCGAACAAAAGGCTTATATGAAAGAATGGATATGAGACTACACTATGCTATCATGTAGTATATCAAATCTTTCAAAACTGCTGAAGGCTCCCAAGGTCCTTCGAGGTTGCAGAGACCGGATTTTTCGCAGCCCTATACCCTAAACCCCTAAACCGCTAAAGCCCTAAACCCCTAAACCCCCAAACCCTAAACCCTAAACCTCTAAAGCCCTAAACCCCTCAACCCCTAAACCCCAAACCCTAAACCCTAAACCCTAAACCCTAAACCTACGGCTCAAGCGTTTGGCCCGAATTTCTTATACTTGTCCTGTCGCCACCTTTTTCCCTGCGGTCGGTCATTGTGGGGGAACTTGTACGAGATCGCTGGCGGCCAGTCCTTCGGTCTGCCCTACCAGTCTGAGTGCGGTGGCTTTGGGGGTGACCTCGTGCTCCGGCGGCCACTTTGTCGAGGAGGCTGTGGTGTTTGTCTTGATCTACTTTCCATCGTGGGGGCGAGTGTCCTGGTCCTCTTGGCTCAGCTTGGACTTGGTGGGAGAAAAAAGGGAAAGACACGTCTCTGAGTGGAAAACACGCCTCTGAATTGGGGACATGGGCACGCCTTTTGGTCCTGACGACATACCTACCCAGATGATCGCCGTCGATGAGGAGGGAGTCCTTGGGTCGCCGACGGAGCTCGCGGAGGGTGACTCTGAGATGGAGGTTGAAAACCCGGCCATAAAAAAGGAGGACATGAACTCCCAGCCGAGCCTGAAGATGGAAAAGCGAAAGAGAACTGCAACGACAGCGGTCAGGGCTGAAGGTGGAAATGACGATGAAGAAAGTCCCACCAAACGACCGCCACCCCCCGGAGAAGTTAGACCTGACGATCGTCCAGTATCTGGGGGTGAACTTCGACAGCTTCTTCAATTGCATGCTCAAGAACTCAAAGAGGCCTGGCGCAGCTTTGAGGGGAGACTTGACAAGGTGGAGACGACCCAACAAAAGCAGGTGGGTGACATCGCATCTCTCTCAGGCAGGGTTAAGATCAACGAGAAGGACTTGCAAGGGGTGAAGAAAACGTGTGAAAGCTTCCAGCCTAAGATCGACGTGCTCACAGAGGATGTTAAGAATCTGAAAGTGCAGCTCGAGGAGGCCAAGAAGGAGAACAAAAACCGTGCCCATGCTGAACCAGGCCTCCCCGAAGGTCAACATGTTGGTCAGAATGATCCATGGGGTGACTACTTGAAGAAGAGGGCTGAAAAGAGTGGACAAGATAGTGCCACGTCTGGCGAACCTTCTGGAGGATCCTTGAGAAACGCGGGTGAGGTGCTGTCGGAGGATGACCTGCGTACCTTGACTGTGGGTGGCTGGGCACAGGACACTCGCAAGGCTGTCATCGAGGGTGAGGCCGACGCTGTACTTAAACTCCCGGAGATTGCCCCGTTGCTCGACGTTGACAAGATCACAGTTTTTGGACCCAGAAGGAGCGTCGGGATGATTAAGTTCGTGGACCGCCCCGGGGAGACGTTTGCTCAGACCAAGGACAGGATGTGGAAAGTCGTTCGTGCCGTGGCACAAGCGAGAGTGGTATTCCCCAGCACGAGCAACCTTGGTGAGGACCGGAAAGCCTGGATGGCGTTCGTCAAGACCCGCATGGCCAGGGCACGCACCGCGCATATAAGCATGGTGAGATGCGTCACGATCGCATTGGCCTCCGATGTCAAGGATGACGGAGGGGGTGTGCTCAACTTGGATCACACGCTACCAGCCTCCTACGATATGGATTGGGGGGCGGGGACCATTTGGTGTGGCCCACAAAAGTTGGCCTCGGCGACGCACAGGGCACCAAAAGAGGCTGAAGTCATCCTCATGAGCGGTGGGTGGGTCAACTTGGATGCCGTTGGACTCATTGCTGGCTGCACGGTTGGGGTCGCCAAAGCGGCCTTCGAGCATGAGCTGTGACGCCAGCAAGACGGGCCGAGTTTCACGCCTTCTTCGCCACTTCTTCAGCCTGAGGCTCTGGGTGATGTGGGGAAGGCCGCGACTTCTGACCAGTGTGGAAGACATCGGTGGGGTCGTGTGATGCAATGGAATTTAGGGGGACGAGCTAAATTTGCTTGACGTCGCCGCCCTTGATGCAGACATCGTCTTTGTGCAGGAAGTTTCACGAGGAGAGCCTGGATGGACATGCGATGACAGTGAACATTTTCATTGGGTGACGTTTCGTGACACAGCAATGTGGAGAGGAGTTGGGGTGGGCATCGCAATTGACAAGATTGACTGCATCATCTCCAAGATTGTCACTGCGAGGGGGATTTGGGTGCTTGCCAGGATCGTTGGAATAGGCAGAGTGGTGCTCGGATCCTTGCACGGCCTCACTGGGGTTACCAACGCCAGATATCAGGCTGCCGCTCTGGAATTTGCCAAAGCTTGTCCAGCTGCATGGCGCCACTATCCTGTTTTATGTGGGGTGGATGTCAACGAGACCCCAACTTGGCTTCTGGGTGATGATGAACTTGTTCCTACGGGAGTTGAGACCCTTTCCGCGGGCACGGCCAACTTCAACCTCCTGCGGAACAGTTCGCCTCTTTAGGTCTGCGACCAGTTCCTCCTCGGCATGACCAAGTGCGCACACCCACCCACTTCCCTAGAGATGAAACGCGCGCTGGGAGACAGATTGACATGCTATGGTGCCGACACCTGCTGATGAGCCACCTGAATATAGAACCGGAGCGTCGTCACTCAATCGGCACAGATCATGCGGTGATCTGGGCCGACTTATATGTGAACCACAAGAGCAAACTCAAGTGGGGGAACGACTCTCGACCGCGGTGGGTGCACTCCGAGCTCCCCTCTGTCAAGCTTGAGCAGGCGGAGGACCTCAGCAAGCTCGCCAAGGAATGTTCAGCACCGAGAAGAACCGCTGGATACAAGGATGACTGTGACGTCAAGGCCGCTTTTACAATTGCCCGGCAGGTCGGGAACGACAAGAAGCTCTGGAAACAGGCACACAAACTCCGAAGGACCAAGCGAGCTGAGTGGCGGGCTAGACGCCTTAGTGACATCCTCAACGGTGACTGGGCTCAATACAGGGCACTTCAGCGCGAATCCAACAGGAGAAGAGGCTGGTGGGGTGGCATGCTACAGGACAAGAGCTCTGCTTCTCTCACCTCGGAGGTCAAAGAACACCTTGAGGCAAAGCTGGTCAACCACGACTTGTCGGACTGGGATGATATCTTAGAGGAACACATCGAGAATGTCCACCTGGGTGACAACTTCGAGCCCTTCACGATCCGTGACACCCGAACTGTCCTGCAGGATATGAAGACTGGACCGGACGGGGTGAGTGTGTCGCTTCTTCGTGCAGTGGCCAGCCATGATCACCTCAGTTCTCAGCTAGTTGACCTGGTCAACCACATTGTTGAGGACACCAGGCTGCCAGCTTGCTGGCAAGAAAATTTCCTCGCTCTCCTTGCCAAGGTGGACAATCCGTCTCAGCCTAAGGAACTACGACCGATTTGTGTGTCGTCCGTTTTCCACAAGATGGTGACCAAGCTGGTGTGCAACCGGGCGCTACCCGTCATGAGAACTGGGTCGACCTGCTCCAGCTGCGGCAAGGGCCGCCAAGCGGCGGACCTCATTGGGGTGATTTCTCGCGTCAGGGATGTCTCGCGTGAATGGAAGACACCATTGCTCCTTTGCAAACTTGACATCTCGGGTGCCTTTGACAAACTCGATAGACTTAAAGTCGTGGAGTTCCTCAAGAACCACCTGAATGACCAGACCCTGCCGCATGAACTCCGTTATCTCCTTGCTCAACTTCGTACATATGAACTGGTTGGCAAAGTGCCGGGAGGACACAGCATCCATGTCAAGCCAAACATCGGCATCAAACAAGGAGCGCCGGAAAGCGCCGAAGTCTTTGGAATGGTGATGGATTCTATGTTGTCGCGCCTACTGGGGACGAGAGGATGGAAAGCCTTTGGAACCTGCGACACGGAGCTCGGGGTTGACTTGATCTTTTATCAGGACGATATTTTCTTGATCGACAATGACTTCGTCAAGCTCTGTAAGCGGATTAAGGTGTTAGAGCGCTACCTCGCTACGGCTGGACTCCACCTTGCGGCGGCCAAGACCAAGATTGTGGCGAGCGCCTACTACCGAGGGGTGAGAAAGGTGCAGATTGGAAGCGACATCTTTAAAGTCGCCCCCTCGGGTGAGTCGGTTCGAGTTCTTGGCCTTGCCTTCTCCCTTCAGGATGGTCCTGCTCAGCAGGCCAAAGAACTTCTTGCCAGAACGAGGAACGCTGCAGCAAAACACCGAGATCTTCTGCGGGGTCGGGCTCCTTGGCATCGGAAACACCAGATGATCGGCACCTTGGTGGCCTCGCAGTTTCAGTGGACCGCGGGCGCTGTCCATTGGTCCTCCGCCGAACTACAGCAAGCGAATGTCTTGCAGCTACATGTCCTTCGGGATGCTTTTGGTCTCCGTCGACAAGCGGGTGAATCTTGGCTTAGTTGGAATTGTCGTACGATGCGAGACTGTAGATGTTGGCTGGTTCGACATGACCTACCGCGTTGGAGCACCTCTATCCTTCGTCTGCAGCACACGCTCACCGGTCACTGGGCGAGGAGGGTTGAGCTCATTGGCCCGCTTGGTTCGCCGTGGCCGTCTCTCCCCATGCGAGCTCTACAGTGGAGATGCACAGGGTGGTGGAGAAGACAACAACTACTCAGCCCCACGATTGGATGCCGTCACCGAGGACATGTACATGTTCACAATATTGAACGTCAACTAGCCGAAGTCCATGGAGTACGCTGGCCTCTCCTCGCGCTGGACCGTGACAAGTGGTCACGAGAACGTCAAGCTTTTCTCGACAAATGGGACTTGAAGTGGACAAAAAACAGACAGCTGGCCATCACTAACTAGATTGGGATGGGATTTGCACTGGACACACGACATGTGGTGAAGCCCCAATGCTGAGTCATGTTGTGTTCCTCCTGCTCCTGTCCGGGTCGACTTGTCTGTCGTTCTCACCTTCGTGGTGGCCCTGTCTTTGTCGCCCTGGTGATCCTTGGTCTGTCTTGAGACTTTGAACTGCACATGAAGCCCTTGATCCTGATGGAAGATGACTGTCTTGCGTCTACTGTTTCCTCTTCAAGATCAATATACCAGCATCGCCGAAAACCTTCGTTCTGTTTGTTGCCCACTTGGCTCGAGGTGATTTTGCGGAAACTCAGCGCCTTTTCGCCCTCCACCTCTTTGACATGTCCGCGCTTGGGACGCGACTGTGGATTTTGGCCTCCGTCATCTACTTCGCCGGTGGAACGGGGTCGGAAGATGATGATGATTATCCAGGCCACCTTTGGGAAGCTCGGTGGCAACATGGAAACCCTCAGCCCGCCTCAGGAACCTCGGCGTGGGACCAAAGCGGGCCTGGTCTAACCTCGGCGTCTTCGGCATCCTCCAGCTCTACCCCTTTGCCCTCGTCCTCCACGTGCCCGGATGCCATACCCGTTGGGAACCCACCTTCAAACCATCGTCTCATTGTCCACTCTGGGGTGACTTCTGTGGACGCACCTGAACCTGACCAGCTTCCGGTTTCAATTCTCCGACGGGGTGCGACAACAAACGCTGAGGGTGAACTTGATGGGGATGAGGATGAGGTTCAGGATAGTCGTGTTCTACCTGAGTGGGATTGGCCGCCATCTCCTCGTGTGCCTCCTGTTCAACAGTGGGGTGAGATTGACGTGCTACGCGAACCCTACAGCCAGCCACAACCCTCATCAAGCTCACAGCCGTCGGTGCCCTCGGCTACAGTGTCGCAAGATGCCTGGTCTCCATGGCCCTCCTCGTCTGCGAGCTCACAATGGTCAACAGTGGATACACCGCCTGCCTCGTCGTGGAGCTCCTCTACCTCGCCTTCTACGGCCCCGCCGACGAGCCAGAGCTTCTACCCTACGTGGACCCCCTGGGCTCCTCCGCCGAGCTCTTCCATGGAGGTGGCCACACCTCCACGTGACTGGGTAAGCCTGGTTATTGACACTGCGAGGGAGACCAAGCTGTACCACACAACTGGGCCAGCCGGTCCCCAATACCACGGAGACGGAAGAAGGGATCACCAGCCGCTTTGGGACAAATCGCCCTGGTAGGGACCGTTGGCATCACCCAGACGGGTCTGTACGCAATCGTCGACAAGAACGCCTACAAGCAGAAGCTGCCTCCGGCCTGCCCTCCGTCCCGGAAGCTGACCCGCCGGCTCAACAAGATGATCAATGGATGGAGAATGCCACAGAGGAGACCCTCAAAGCCCAGCCCAATTCCGCCCTGGACATTGAGGCTAACACCACAGCCGGCGAATCTACGACGGCAGCAGAAGGAGAAGGAAACGTAGCGGACACTGAGTCCGCGTTGTCTTCCTCCGAAGGAGGACGCGCCGACTCGGCAATTGGTTTTTGGAAGGCTGGTGTCTGGGTCAATCGCGCGCGCGCCGAAGCTGAGCTACGAGCCCACAGAGGGGGAGGGGGTGAAGTCCGAACACGACGTAAACGTGAGAGGATGCTCGCCTATTACTCCGGTCGGTGGAAGCCGGCATGGCTTCAGAACTACATCACTGACAAGGCCCAACGAGAAGCAGTGGCAGCGACCAACTCTGATGTGAATGCAACCAGCCACCAGACGTCCCCACAGCCCGCTGTTGTTTTACAGGAACCCTCCGATGAACCCGATCCTCACCATCAACAAGAAGCTAGACACATCAGATCGGTCACAGTGGTCGTGGTCGGGCTGGGTGAACTGGTCATGGTCCGGGGGTGAGTATGAGGAAACTGATGCTACCTCGTGGTCTACCTCATCGTGGTCCTCCCCTTCTTGGTCATCGTGGTGGACTACAACAGGATGGGAAAACTGGAATGACATCTCGACCTCCAATAAGTGGGGTGAGATTGACCCTCCAGCACCTGAACCAGCCGAGGAGACCGCCCAAGAGTTGCCAACGAATGTCGTCAACACTGCCACGGGCCCGGTGGAAAATTCTACGTTTGAGGCTACAGCTGAGGTTGGCTGTTTCCCTGGTTCCTCTTCCTCCACCACCTCTACTTCTACAAGTGCACCTGGAGAGCCAGCCATTCCTGGAGTTGGGCTCTTCCCGGAGGTTCGCACGCTTGAGGAAGAGGTCACGTGGCTCATGCAGCTCACCAACAGTGAGCGAGCTACGCTACAAGAAGGAGGAAGCGAGAACAACATCAACAGGATTGAGGAGTTTCTACATCAAGTGGATGATCAACAAGTTGATGGCAGCGGGCCAGAGGCCAGGTGGGCGGTTGCACGGCTGGTGGCTCGCCTGGAAGATGGAGTGGAGGCTCTGGGAACTATGCTTAGCATCTTGCAACGTCGCCTTCAACCAAGAGGATACCTACCGCTCCAGCGCATCCCAGGTGAGGAGTTGGCACGCATTCGTTGGTTTAACTGGGTGAGACAATTCACAACCATCTTCACCCAGAACCTCGAGTACAATCTGGCAGCTCCTCTTCAACCACAGGAGACCAATCCTTCGGAGGGGGTGATGCTGGGCTTCCATGCACCTCCCCCGCACATGCCGGCTTCCTCGTCGGGACAAAGGCGCGTGGCTGAGCGCAGTCGTAGTCCGGCACACCGCTCCCCTCAGCGCAGTCTTGAGGAAGAAGATGAAAACGACTCAGAAGAAGGACCTGCTACTGACGACCCAGAGGTGCCGGTGGAGCCAGTTGACCCCTCACAACTGCCTGGGATCTGGAGAGACCCACCGCTAGAGGACTTGTCCAGCGACGTGAGCCGCTTTGGGAGGACCACTTCGCCTAGTATGCCACCGCCCGGAACTACGACCACGACGTCCACTACCTCCTCAGCCTGCTCTTTGCCGTGGCCGACCTCTGCATCCAGTTCGTGCTCTTCGACGTTGGAACATGGTGGCCCGGGGGTTGAACTGTACAGGTGAAGACAACGGCCTGGCAGCTCCACCTCTCATGATCCAGGAGCTTCCGGCAGATGGTGCACTTATCCTGGATCAAGGGGATGAACTATCTTGGATGCAACAATCCGCCTGGTTGGGGGTGACTTCTACTTCAACGACCTCAAGCACGAGCTCCTTGGGTACGCTGTGGACGGCAGACTTGGTGCGAGACGCCGTGGTGGCTGAAACATCGGTGGCGGGACAGGCAGACTTACACGATCTGTTGAGACGTCTACTGGACAGACAACGACGACTCCGCCACTGCGACAGACTTCTCGCCGAGGCCATCGAGGAAATCCTAGGTTTCCTTCACGTCCCCAGACATGAGCTTCCGTTCAACGCAGCCACCATGGACGCCAACCTATGGAGAGTTATCAGTGCTGAAGCGAACAATGGACAAGGACAATCCGAGACGGCAACAGTCATCCCCACAGGTCAACCCGCGGTCCTACTCCAACCTGGCCTCCCGAACAGCCTCCAGGCGATCTATGATGCGCTCCCTGGGTATGACGAGCCGACCTTGGCAGGCTTCCGTAGGCGGGCTTGGCGTGCACATGTGGACAGGTTGTTCAGAAGAGCCGGCAGGGTCACTCCAAGCGGACGCTGGCCGCCGGAAGGTGACCGAGACCTCTACCTGATTCAGGCTGACGGGGAAGTCCCGGTTCCCAACCACCCATCTGATTGCCTTCCACCTCCTCGGCCGTACTTGGCACGGCGCTACAATGGTGTGGGTGGACGTCGTCGTGGACAACGTCATCGCGGCGGCTACAATGTGAACCAACCAACGCGATCGACGGGGACGTTGTGGAGGACGTCGACGATGGCTACACCAGACACCTTGTCAGTGGAGGGCCCCACCTTCTCGTCTTCAGCGTCTCCGATGGTCCCACCGGAGTCGTCGTTGGTTGCTCCTGATCGTCCCCTGACTACAGTTACCGGAATACGTAGGAGAACACACCGAGATCGAAGCCGTAGTAGAGATGACGGTGGTGAAGTTTCAGCGGCTCATAGCTCCCACGACGCGACTGGACATGAACGAGGAGGAGTCAGTGATGCTGAGTGTGTTGATTAATGTCTTGAGCAACTTGCTCGACAGGGTGCACGCTCATATGAGCGAGTAGTCTGACCTTCCTGCGAGAGAAAGGGGGCTATTGCATTTAAAAAAAAACCCTAAACCCTAAGCCCTAAACCCCCAAACCCTAAACCCTAAACCTCTAAAGCCCTAAATCCCTAAGCCCTAAACCCCTCAACCTCTAAACCCTAAACCCGAAACCCCAAACCCTAAACCCGAAACTCTAAACCCCTAACTCCTCAACCCTAAACCCTAAACGATAGACCCTCAACCCTCAACCCTAAACCCTAAACGATAAACGATAAACCCTAAACCCTAAACCCTAAACCCTAAACCCTAAACCCTAAACCCCTAAACCCTAAACCCTAAACCCTAAGCGATAAACCCTAAGCCAAGCCAAGGTTGCCTACCGGTGGTGCTTCGCGCTGTCGAGGGAAAAGCCGGCCCCGACCCCAAGCGACGGTGGTTCAATGCTTTGGGGGCTTTGGGGTTTAGGGCTTTAGGGCTTTAGGGGTTTAGAGGTTTAGGGTTTAGGGTTTTACGGGCTTTGGGGCCTAGGGGTTTAGGGCTTGAGGGGTTTAGGGTTTTTAGGGGTTTAGGGTTTAGGGGTTTGGGGGTTTAGGGTTTGGGGCCTAAGGGTTTAGGGCTTCATAGGGGTTTAGGGCCTTGGGGCCTAGGGGTTTAGGGTTTGGGGCCTAGGGGTTTAGGGCTTGAGGGTTTTAGGGGTCGAGTTTTTTAGGGGCTTCGGGGCCTAAGGGTTTAGGGCTTTAGGGGTTTAGGGCTTTAGGGCTTCAGGGGTTTAGGGGTTGAGGGTTTTAAAGTTTGGGGGTTGAGGGTTTTAGGGGTTTAGGGTTTAGGGGTTTGGGGTTTTGGGGTTTAGGGTTTAGGGATTTTGGGTTTAGGGGTTTAGGGCTTTAGGGATTGAGGGTTTTAGGGGTTGAGGGTTTTAGGGCTTGAGGGGTTTGGGGTTTTGGGTTTATGGGTTTTGGGGTTTGGGGTTTTGGGTTTATGGGTTTGGTGTTTAGGGCT